TCCTTCCACAGATGTAGTCAATCTGATTCCTATGCATACCATCAGGTGAAGTTCATGTGTATAACCTGCGTTTGTGTCTCTTATAAAATGTATTTGCAACGAATAAGTCATTGATTTTACAAAATTCAATCATTCTATCTCCAGCCTCATAAGAATCAATATAAGAAGAATTAATTCCTTTAAGTTCTGCTGCTGAAGAAGAGTTATGAATATCCTATGGACTGCCAAGAGAACAAACAGATGTCTTAGAGAGGCTGTAGCTGGAGTGCTTGTTGGAAATAAAGATGGTGTATCTTCGTCTTTCATACTTTGGACATGTAAGCTAGGAGAGGCTAATCATTGGAGAAGAATAACATATGCTTGGAAAGACTGGGGGTCAGTGAAGTATAAGAAGGCCCTCAGTGAGGTGAATTGACATGGTGACTTCAGCAATGGTCTTGCATGTTTTGCACATGGTGAGGATGGCACAAGATAGGGCAGGGTTCAAGCTGACTCTTCACAGGGTTGCTATGAGTAATACTGGACTTGACAATACCTAACAACAACCATATTTGCATGTGTGTGCGTTGTTGTTGTTGTTATGTGCCATCTAGTCACTTGCGACTCATAGCGATCCTACCCTTCCGAGCATGATGTCCCTCTCCAAGGACTGGTCCCTCCTTACAACATGCCCAAAGTATGTCAGACGAAACTTCAGAATCTTTGCCTAAAAGGAGCAGCCTGGTTTCACCATCTTCAGGACAAACCTGTTTGTCCTTCTGGTCGCCCATGTTATATTCAATTCTTCTCCAGCACCACAGCTCAAAGGCATCAATTCTCTTTATATCATCCCTAGTCATTGTCCAGCTTTCTGATGCATAGCAAGTCATTGTAAAGACTATGGCCTGGATCAAGTCTTAGTCTCTAGACTGACGTCGTTGCTCTTCAGTACTCTGAAGGGTGCATGTGTGTAAAGAGAGAAAAATTCTGCTGCTAACAATTTTTATATAATTTGGAGCTTTTTTTACTATGAAAATACCTAACTTACTACCATAAGAATGATACAACTTCATAATAAAGTTATTAAGAATTAATGTAAGAAGAATTGATGCCTTTGAGTTCTGTTGCTAGAGAAGAGTTGTGACTATCCCAAGTCATAGTAGTGCTGTGTGTTTCAGAGTAGCATTGCTCTTCTCTTCATGATTTTCGTGGCTATAACCCTTACAAAAAGTAGATTGCCAAGCTTTTTTTCTGCAGCACCAATGAGTGGATTTAAACCAGCAACCACTTGACATAAAGCCCTGGTTTTTTCTTTCAGATTTTTTTTTTCCTTTTAACTCCAAGCATGTGTACTATAGAATCAACCCCACAAAATATGGAGGAAAAACAATTCAGAAAACCTACTCAGGTAAAAATTTAAAATTATATAACAAAAAACCCCCTGATCTTTATATTTAATTTTTGTTTACCTATTAAATTGTTTTTGTATCTCTAGGTTAAAAATGAGAAGTAATAATTTTGAAATTAGTTTTATTAGGTTGTAGGAGGTGGGACAAAAGTAGTTCTTAGAACATATAAAAGAGGTGATTAGATTACTTTGGGGTTAAAGAGAGCAAGTTTAACTGGAAACCCTAAGTCTCTTTAAACTTTCATTAAAATTAATTTTTAAAAAAGAGAGAGCATGTTTAATAATAGAACTGTAGCCTTTTCTTTTTCTCTTGCCAACTCCAGGAAGAAAACTTAAACATTTAAATTAACAGAGGTGAAAAGAATCTAAATTAATTAAAATGTTATGTATTTTTAAAAGATCTAAGTTATTTTTCTGTTGTCCTAAGCATATACATTATGTTCTTACATATATTAGTTGTCTACTATTAGTAGATAATTGTACATAATTAGAATTATAAATTTTATCTATTTTTAAAATAAATGTTTCTACATTTCTTTGAGGCCAAAAGAGTTCTTCTTTTAAATATTCACAATATTCATCATTGATTCTAACCCATTTGTTAATCTGAAAAGACTTCATTCTAATCTTTGTAAATTTATATAATATGGTTTTACTCTGTATGACCCTTCACCCCATAAAATTTACCTTTCTTTCATTACCTTAGCGGTTTTGGACCGTAACCAGTTTGCCAGAAGAACTTTCTTCAGTAGAAATCCAAAAGGTAATCATGATCAGGTTTTAATTAATTTTGATCTTGAAACAGATCCAAACCCAACCCAGTACTATCGAGTTGACTTCAGTTCATGCTGGCCTTCCATCAGGTTTCTGAATCTGTTAATCGTTTTGACAGCATAATATCTCATTCCTCCGCAGAGCAGTTGGTGGATATGAGCTGCCAGCCCAATATATAACCATTATATCATTAGGCCTTCTTTTTGATCTTGAAAAGTTATGTAATTAATTATTTTCTTTCACTGCTGTGCTGTTTATCTGCCTAGTCATTAAATATTACTTGCTTTATTCTTTCCTTTATTCCCATGTAGCATTTTTAATTACTCCATTTGTAATGTGATGGAACATAACCTGAACAAGAACATTTTTTATTGTTCTGACTACTCTACAGGCTCATTTATTAAGTTTGCATAAATGGCAAATACAAATGTAGAAATCCACATCTTTATAGAAATAAATCAAGGGGCCCATTGAAATACCATCTTGTGATGTTCTTAAATGCCAGATGCCTGGTTAATGTACTAGATTGAATCTTCTTTGGCATGTGTAATTGCCTAAAGTAATAATATTAATTTAATTATGAGATTTGGTGGTTACTATATTCATAAAATTATATGGAAAGCATATTTCTTAAAATATTTAATTTTTTTACCTCAGATTCTCAGACATGCTGAAGATAAAGGATCTGCACTGTCAGAAGAGGAAACAATACCACCGTCCATATATATTCCTTGTCCCCCAAAAGGGACAGTGAATAAAATAATTACAAATGGTATGTGAAATGAGAAATTAAACTAGATAGAAAAAAATTAAAAATCTGGTTTCTGGGTTTTAAAACATTAGACAGCAAAACCATTGCTTAATTGGCATACTCTCTAATTTACTATATTAATCAGTATGTGGAAAAAAGATGAAATATTCCCTTGCATATGTCCAAAAATAATGTTCAACAGGTTGTATGCTAATCTTTTCCCATTTCTTTCCATGGTAAATATTTGGAACGAAGAATAATATTAAGTCAATAATACTAATTTTTACTGAAAACTTACTTTTGACATTTAGTTTTAACTTAGCTAGGAATACTACATTTCTTATTAAAAATAAAAATTAGACCCAAAATTTTGAAACTACTATGTTCTTGTAAAGAAGTGTATGAATCTTGTTTTTCAACTAAATTTGAATCTCTTACTGATACCAAGTATTTATAAAGAAAATTTTCCTAATTATTTTCTACTTTATGAAAGAAATTAAGCCTGAGAGAGATTTTGACCTTTCAAGTATAAAATCATGTATTGTCCTTGTTGTCATGTGCCATCAACTAAGAGCTGACTCATCACTGACCCTCTAGCAAATTTTCAAAGACGTTTTTTCACACGGGAGGAGAATGACCATCTTTTTTCCATGAAGTAGCTGGTAGATTTGGACTGTGTGCACTTGAGTCAACAGCACAACTACTTATATAATATGGTTTTACACTATATGACCCTTCACTCCAATCAGAATTTTTCTTTCTGTCATTTCCTCTCTGTCATGGCTACCAAAGCTCCTTAAATCCTAAAAGAAACAAAAATTAGGTGAAAATATGAAGAATGATAAATAATTGAAGTTTTAAAACTTTGTTTTCTTATTCACTGTTTACTAAATTTAAACTTTTTTATTTAAGATAAAAATTTTATTTCATACTAGTTTACTTACAAAGTTTGTATACATTGTTTTCCACACTGGATCTTTCTCTTTTATTTTACCCACCCCGCATTCCACCCATCTAATTGTGGGACCCTATGATAAACCACCCCCTGCCTATCCTCACCCTTCTGTTCCCACCTTCCTCCCCTGGAATCCTCATACACATTCTATAACAATGGTCTCATACAGTATTTGTCCTTATAGGATGGAGTTAGTTCACTTAGCATAATGTTCTCCATTCTCTCCCAAGTTAGGTAGTAATTTACAAAATCATTGCTCCTACGTGCTGCGTTGTACTCCATCATGTGAATGTACCATAATTTCTAAATCATTTGATTGTAGTTGAATATTTGGGCTATTTTCATGTTTTTACTATGGTGAATAATGCTGCTGTGAACATTAATGTACAAGTCTCTGTTTGTGCTTCAGTTCTCATTTTCTTGGAATATATTCCAAGCAGTGGAATATCTGGGTCATATCGAATTTCTATGTTCAGCTTTTTAAGGAAACACCAAACTGCCTTAGAGAGTAGTTGTACCACTTTACAATCCCACCAAAATGCATGAGTTCCGATCTCTTCACATCCTCTCCAACATTTATTACTTGCTGTCCTGTTAGACTTTGCCACTGCTACTGGAGTGAGATGGTATCTCATTGTGGTTTTATTTGTATCTCTCTTATTGGCAGTGATTTGGAGTATTTCTTCATGTGTCTGTTGGCTTCCTCTGTGAAAAGTCGTTCCATGTCTTTTGCCCATTTTGTAATTGTGTTGTCTTTTTCTAGTAAAAGCCCTGTAGAATTCTGTAAACTTTTTATATGAGACCCTTGTCTGAAATAGTATTACCAAGTGTTTTTTCACAGTCAGTACATTTCCTCTTCCCTCTATTGGAAAATATTTTTGATGTGCACGGGGATTTAATCTTTAGAAAGTCTCATTCATTAATTTTACCCTCTCCAATTAAGCATTTCTTGCAGTCTTTTTGTACCATAGACTAGGCTATCTTAAGGTTGATCCTTGTTTGTCTCTGATTAACTTTGTGGTTTTAGACTTTACTCCTAGGTCTCTGATCCACCTTGAGTTGATTTTTGTGGATAGTGTGCAATGTGGATTCTGTTTCAGCTTTCTGCAGGTAGCAGTCCAGTTTTCCCAGCACCATTTGTTGAAGAGGTGGTCATTTCCCCATCTGATAGGTTTTATTTCCTTGTCAAATCAAGTGACCATAGATAACTGGGTCAATTTCTGGGTTTTCAATTCTGTTGCATTGGTATATGTGCCTGTCATTTTATCAGTATCATGCTGTTTGGGTTACTACTGCTGTGTAGAAGGTTTTGAGGTCAGGGAATGATATTCCTCCCACTTCATTTTTGTTTTTCAGAAGTGCTTTGCTTATATGTGGTCTCTTTTCTCTCTAAATAAACTTGACAGTTTCCCTTTCAATGTCTTTGAAAAATGAATTTGGTATCTGTATTGGGATTGCATTGAACATGTAGATTGCTGTTGGTAGAATTGTCATTTTCATAATATGTGTCTTCCTATCTATGAGCAGGACACATTTTTCCATTTCTTCGGGTCTTTTATTGTTTTTTGCAGAAATGTTCTGTAGTTTTCTTTGTATAGGCCTTTTGTGTCTCTAGTTAGGTTCACTCCTCTAAGTATCTCATTTTGTGGTTGGCCAATATAAATGGTATTGCTTTATTGGTTTCCTTCTCTGCATTCTCTTTGTTACCGTTGAGGAATCCACCTGATTTTTAGATAGCGAACTTATATCCTGCCACTCTTCTAGCTCATAACAGTTTTTCGGTTGCTTCCATGGGGTTTTCTGTATATACTATCATATCATCTCCATAAAGTGACAGTTTGACTGTCTCTTTTTTCAGTCTGAATATTTTTTATTTCCTTCTTTTGTCATTTTGTCCTAGAAAGCACTTCAAAAATAATATTGAATAGAAGTGGTGACAATGGGCATCCTTGTCTGGCCCCTGTTCAGCAGCAAAATCCTTTTAGTCTTTCTCCATTGAGAATGATACTGGCTCTTGGTTTTGTGTACATATTTTTCACTGTGTTGAGGAAATTCCCTTCTATTCCAATTCTGCTGGGTGTCTTTATCAGGAAGTGGTGTTGGGTTTTGTCAAATGCCTTTTCTGCATCAATTGTTAAGATCATGTGGTTTTTGTTATCTACTTTGGTAATAAGATGAATTACATTGTTTGTTTTTTATGTTGAACCATCTTTGCATATCTATTATGAATCCCATTTGGTCATGATGTTTATTTTATTTTTTAATGTTCTTTTGGATTCTATTAGCTAGGATTTTGTTGAGGATTTTTGCATCTATATTCATGAGAGGTGTGTAGGTTTTTTTCTTGATAATATCTTTGCCTGGTTTTGGTATTAGGTTTATGCTTGCTTCAGATAATGACTCTGTGAGTGTTCTTTCTTTTTCCATTTTTTCAAATAATTTAAGTAGAATTTGTTATCAATCCTCTCTTAGAATTCAGCTGTGAAGCCATCTGGTCCAGCACTTTTCTTATGGGGAGGGTTTTTTATGACCTATTCTATTTCTTCTTTTGTGATTGGTCTGCTCAAGTGTTCTATATCTGTCCTTGTCAGTCTAGGTACAGCATGAGTTTCAAGGAATTTGTCAATTTCCTCTAGATTTTCAAATTTATCAGAGTATAGCTTTTCATGGTATTCTGATATTATTGATTTCGTTTCACCCAGTTCTATTGTGATGTCTTCTCTATCATTTTTAAATTAAGTTATCTGTGTCTTCGCTTTTTTTCCCTTTTGTTAACTTTGTCAGCAGTTTGTCGAGTTTATTGACCCTTTCAAAAAATCAGCTCCTTGTCTTATTGATGGTTTCAGTTGTTTCTGTTTTCTGTCTCACTGATTTCAGCTCTTGTCCTTATAATTTCTTTTCTTCTAGCGGCTGTAGGATTGGATTATTATTCTTTTTCTATTTGATGAAGGTGTTAAGTTAGACCGTTGATTTTTTTTTTCTTTCTTCCCTTTTTATGTGTGTGGTTATTACTATGAACTGCCCCCAGAAAACTGCCTTAGCTGTATCCCAGTGGTTTTGGTATATTGTATATTCATTTGTTTCAAGGGACTTTTTTATTTCATTCTTTATTTCTATTATAACCCAATCATGTTTTAGCAGAGAATTATTTCCACTTGGGTGGTTTTGTAAGCTTTACCCTCTTGTGTTTAATTTCTACTTTTATGGCATTGTGGTCTGAGAAGACAGATACTTTGTGTTATATCAGTGTTTTTGGATTTGTTGAGGCTTGCTTTGTGTCCTAATATATGATTGATTCTGAAAAATGTACCATGTGCATTTGAGAAGAAAGTTAATTGAGTTTTAATTGAGTGTAGTACCCTGAATAAATCCACAAAGTTGAGTTGGCTGATTGTATAGTTTAGATCTTCTGCATCTTTGTTGAGTTTCTTTTGAGTTGACCTATCCTTTGGTGATAGTGGTATGTAGAAGTCTCCTACCACAATTGTGGTGCTATTTCTTTCTTCAAAATTGTTAACCATTGTTTTATGTATTTTGTAGGTCTATCATTTGGTGTATAAATGTTGACCATTATGTCTTCTTGATCTGATGTGCTTTAATCAGCATGCAATGTCCTTCCTTATCTTTTATTCTGAAATCTATTTTATCAGAGTTTCGTTCTGAAATATCAGTTTTTCATTCTGAAATCTATTTTATCAAAGTAAAATGCCACTCCTGCTTTTCTGAGGTTGCCATTTACTTGGTATAATTTTTTTCCAGCCTTTGATTTTGAGTCTTTCTTTTTTTAGAAACATCTCTTTTAGGCAACATATTGATGGACTTTGGGTTTTTATCCATTTTTCAACTTTTTTTCTCTTTATTGAAACATTTAGTACATTCACATTAAGTGTTACTATTTCAAGCTACATTTTAACATTTTCATTTTGTTGTTTTTGTTTGTTTGGGGTTTTTTTGTTTGTGTTCCTTTTTCTGTTGTTTCTGGTTATTATGGTTCATCCACTTTCCTTTAATGTCTCCTTGTGAAGGACTTCACTTAAAATTTCTTGTGGATTTACTGTTGTTTTCA